GAGGCTGATTTCGCGCGCGCTGTGCAGCGCCGCTCGGGCCGCCTGGCGGGAGAGCTTCCCCTTGGGCGGTCGCGATGTGGCGCGCTGGTTCCCGGGCCACATGGCCAAAGGTGAGGTCCAGGCGGGAGGGCGCGGCGTCCCCGCCGCCAGGCTCCTTTCTGGTCGCCCGCGAGCGCATCGGGATGCGGCGCGGCTGCGGGGATGACCCGAGGTGACCTGATCCCTGATTCCCAGCAAGGCCCTTCTGCCACTTTATTCCCCGAAGCCTCAGTTTCCACATCAGTTTTTTTTGTTTTTTAAATACCTCTATTGATTTCAGAGAGAGGAAAGGAGAGGAAGAGAGAGAGATAGAAACATCAATGATGAGAGAGTCATTGATCGGCTGCCTCCTGCACACCCCCGACTGGGGATCGAGCCCGCAACCCAGGCATGTGCCCCCGCCGGGAATCGAACCCCAATCACCTGGATCCTAGGTCGACGCCCAACCGCTGAACCACACCCGGCCGGGCTCCACATCCGTTTTAAAAAGTAACATTCCTGGATATTATTTTGAGGACTAAAAGAACTAGGGGTAGGAAAGTACTTTCCAAGTGCTTTCACTTAAGCACCTTAAAACATAGCGTCATTTGTCTTCCGCCTAAACCTCTATGGGAGTTTCTTAGTGTTTACTTGTCAAAATGTGGCCTTCTCCGTGTTGTGGTTGCCACTGTCCTTCCTGCTCCAGCCTCGGAGTCGCTCAGATTCACCCTAAATAGTGACCCAGTGCCCGCCATACCAGGCTCCTCGCCAATGCTGTGCGCGTGTGTTGGGGGGGGGCACTCGCGGGGTGAGGATGGGAAGAAGGGGTGAGGTGAGATGTTTGAGGATGTGCGTGAGTGACAGGGCCCGCCATGTGAGGGGAGGCGGAGCGGTGGTGTCACCATCACTGGGTGGAACACTGTGGGGAACGAGCATTGTTACTTTCCCCATGTGTTCCTGGTTAGGGGTGAGTTGGGTGCATTGTGAGTGGAGACATCCAGGGTGAATGGCTCAGGTCGGTTTGTACAGCATCATCATCTCCACACAGTATCGAGGTGCAATGAGTTGGTTAGTTGGCTTTATTTATTTTATAGCCCAGACCAAGACCCATAGAGGTTAAATCTTCCACCTGGGGTCACCAAAAGGTCAGGTGGTGGAGACAGTCTGGTTGACCCTCAGGCAGGGCACTGCTGTTGAACTTGAAGGAGAGGCCCAGGAAATGGTTATCAGTTATCATTACTTAGAGCACATCACTCAGATACATTCTTTTTAGGGAGATTGTGGTGGTGTGTCATTCTCAACGTCATCTTAAATGTTCTAGCGCTTTTGAAAAGCTATGGACCCCTTACCTTTGGTGTTCTGTTTTCTAGGACTGAAGAAGATGCAGAGCAGCCTAAAGCTGGTGGACTGTATCATCGAGGTCCATGATGCCCGGATATCCTTTGCTGGTTGTGATGCTGGAATTTATAATAAGAAATACATAATTTGACCTTTGTCCCCATTCCTGGCTGGAGCCCCTAAAACCCTGGAATTTCCTAATCGATGAGACATTAAGGTGTCTTTTGTTATGTTAATGAGGTGACTTTTAGAAAGTCCCCCAGGATGGGGCTGGTCCCAGGGAACCCACCTGATATGAAAGTGTTGGAACTTTCAGTTCTACCCCATGACATCCAGGAGGGGAGAGGGGCTGGAGGTAGAATTGATCTTCAATGGCCAGTGATTTCATCAGTCTTGCCTGAGTAATGAAGCTGCCATAAAACCCCAAGAGGACAGGGTTTGGAGAGCTTCTGGGTTGGTGAACACATGGAGATTTAGGGAGAATGGCACTCCCAGAGAAGACGTGGAAGCTCTGTGCCTGTTCCCCAGACCTCGTCCTGTGCATCTCTTCCATCTGTTTGTCTTGTATATCCTTTTACAGTAAACTAGTGACCTAGTGAGTAAAATGTTTCTCTGAGTTCTGTGAGCTACTCTAGCATATGAATCAAATCTAAGGAGGATACATTGGAACCTTTAATTTATAGCAAGTCGGTCAGAAGCACAGGTGACAACCTACACTTGTGACTGGAGTCTGAAGTGGGGTTGCGGAGACAGTCTTGTGGGACTGAGTCCTTAACTTGTGGGGTCTGATGCCATCTCCAGGTAGATGGTATAAGAGTTAGTTAAATTTTGGGACACCTAGCTGGTGTTGGAGAATTGCCTGTGGTGTGGGGGACCCCCCCTCATTGGATACACTTCCAGTTGGGGACAAAATTATAGCGATGCAGGGAAGGCCCTTCTTTCTGAATCAGGCAGTGCTCAAGGCTGCAGGAAGCATTCCTGGCTTGTTACCTTGTGACAAAAACAAAAAACAAAGCTCTGAGAAGTTTTATAACTAGACCGTTTGGTTGTCAGGGTATGAAAGTTCAAAATGAATGATTTGATCACTCAAAAAAGAACCACCCATGAAGTCCTAACTAGTGGATCTCAAAGCACCACTACTGCTTTCACCCACCTCCTCTGCCTGGTCCCTGCCCTGGTCCAGCCACCCACCAGAGTGGCCAGCAGCCTCACGTGTTGTAGTTATTGGCATTTAAAGCAGTAGTTTTCATTCCTTGTTACACGTTAGAATTCCCCCAGGAAGCATTTATTTATTTATTTATAAAATCCCCACCTGAGTATATTTTTTCCATTGCTTTTCAGAGAGTGGAAGGGAGAGAGAAAGAGAGAAACATCAATGTGAGAAAGATACACTGATTGGTTGCCTCCCACATGTGCCCTGACCCAGGCCTGGGATCGAGTCTGCAACTGAGGTACATGCCCTTGGCCAGAATCGAACCCAGGACCCTTCAGTCCACGGACTGATGCTCTAACCACTGAGCAAAACCAGCCAGGGTTAGACATTCTGCCTTCTTATCTAGGATGTGGCAAGAAATGGGTTAACCTCTGAGGGAAGAATGTGGTTTATGGAAAATCCCTTTGTTACATGAGTGAGGACACAGTGGCCAACTGGGTGTCTAGACATGGGGCAAACCAGACTCAGTTAGAGATGAAGCACCAGGAAGGGACTGAGTGCCCAGAGATAAAAATAAAGGCCTCCCATCCTGCCTGTGTTAGTGTCACACAAGGTGGAAAAAGGGCCTGGCAATGGTAGTAAAGAGGTGGAACCTTCAGTGACGGTCTCCATGGGGGGGACCCTGTCTCCTCAATGGTCACCAGAGGTGGCAGTGGTGCTTTGAGGCCCACTAGTGAGGACTTCATGGGCGGCGCTTTTTTGAGTGATCAAATCATTCATTTTGAACTTTCATACCTTGACAACCAAACGGTCTAGTTGTAAAACTTCCCAGAGCTTTGTTGTTTTTGTCACCATCGTTCCCATTTGAGAAGCCACGTGAGAGCCACTGCCCTGCCCGTCGTCTCTTCTCTACAGGAAGCAGCGCCAGTGGCTCCGTGCTGTGAGGGGAGGGCAGCACGGGCTGGTATCGCAGCTCCACGGACGGGAGGCTGGGCATGTGCTCACCTGAGACAGCGCCGGTTCCTTTTAAAGATTTCCTTCGGAAGTCATGCAATCTGGGCAACAAGACAAAATAAATTAATTGGCTGGTAAAGGCTCTGAAGGTATTTTTGCCTTAATTTTGCCACATTCCACTTTCGGGCCGCAACCCTCTGTTTCAGGAAACCCTCGGGATTAAGCCTCACTTGCTCGTCCTCAACAAAATGGACTTGGCGGATCTGAAGGAGCAGCAGGTGAAGCCCCTCTCAGCTGCGTCAGCACCGGGCTGGCTCGGTTCCGATGACAGTCACTGCTGAGACAGACTCGAGTTTATTCGCCAGGCAGGCTTACTTTGGCACTCTACCCTTTGTCCGCATGCTTCCTCTAATGTTTAATTTATGGTCCAGATCATTCAAATGTCCACATCTCCCAGGGGAAGTGGCCAGGATGTGCTGCTGGAGCCCAGGGGCCACATGTGACTCTGAGCACTTGAAATGTAGCTCCTTTGGTGGTGGAATTGACTTTCACGTTTTTTCATTTTAATTAGTTTAAATTTCAGTGGCCACATGAGGCTCTTGACTGCAGGCCTGGACAGTGCTGGCCTGGAGGTCTCCTGTGATGGCTGCTTTACCCCCAGGTGTCCACACTTACCAGTTCCATGGTCTCCCAGCCCCCCAGCCAGTGGGCAGGTTGCCTTCTGCCCACTGTGTGATCTGGAAGGTGGGGGAGTCCCAGAGTAAGTGAATGGATTTCTCTAAAGCCAGGCAGGACCCAGGGATACAAGTGATCAACTGCAGGACATTTCCTGTGGGTCCCAGAGGTAGAGAAACATGGTGACTCTGGAATGTTATTTGTGAATATGCACCTCTACTTTTCTCGCTCTGTTGTCAAATCCTTTGCAAAGAGTACGTGTTAGAATCTTTTGAATTCCATTTGTTTTCAAGTTGTTAGTGGTGCAGAAATTTTCCTTTCACTGCAGCCACAAGAGTGCATTTCTGGTTTCTTGGTAAGTTTGAGTTACTTAAACCCCAAACACAGCCTTCAGCATAGGTTTCCAGGGAAACATCACATGCTGAACCACAAGAGGGCTTTGTTCATTGAGAATCCTTCCCTGGCTCCTGCCCACTGCACAGCCCATAAACCCACCTCTGATCAGTCCGTCCTACTGTGCAAGGCTCTTGGCTTCATGGCTTTCCATGACTTTATCAGTGAGACTTGAGTCTTATCAGTGATTTCTTCTGCCCTTAGATGCTATTTTTTATAGAGTGCTAGGCGCACTAAGGTCACCTAACACAGGACAGAGCAGTGTTTCACCTGGTTGGGACACAGGTCTTAGAGGGGACAGGAGAGGAGAGGTTCCCAGTTGTGGCCCTCTATACAGTGGGTGAGGACATCCGTGTGAATTAATACTTTTCAAAGGAGCTTCAAATATGTCTGTTTTGGCTTGTATCTTAATCTGCATCATTATACTGAGTAAGTGAAATCCATAAATAAAACTAACTGAATTAACGTGACTTTTCTGTTCATTTAAATATCAGTCATGTTTAGGTCAGCAGCAGACCAAACAGTACAAAGCTGGTTTTAACAAATATGACTCATATGCTGATTTCACTTAGTGTTAAGACTAGTAAACTCCTATTAGTTATAGTTTACTTTTGGGCTTTTAAAGTATTCCATGTACCTTGTAATCAGATTGGGTTCAAACCTTAAAGTGGAGTTCACTTTGTGAAAGCTTGTCAGAGTACACAAGAGTGATGAGGCCACTAAGGGAAGATGAAACTGATTTCAGTGCCTCAGAAATAACCGAGTTTAGCCTCATACTGTAAGAAGGGCCTGGAGTCCCAAGAGGGTGGGCTGTGACTGCTCAGCGCTCACCTCTGGGGGAACCTGGAGCCCTCGCTCTGAGACTAGGGCCCTTTCCTCCTGTCCTCACTCGGAGCCAGCTGCTCTGTGCCACCAGTGGGGCCAGGCTGCCCTCTCAAGTCCCCTCACATAGTCCGTACTGCCCATGGTGCCGTTGCCTGTGTCCATCCCACGTCTGCCCCATGCCGGCGCAGTGCTCCCTGTATCCCTGGCCCCAGTGGCTCCGAGCCCAAGCTTGTGCCTGGCAGCCTCAGATCCGTGGACTTTAGCGTGTTGCACTATCCCTAATTTTATTTAGTATTTAAAATGGAAATGTCTCTTTCAGAAAATTATACAACACTTGGAAAGAGAAGGCCTAAAACATGTCATTTTTACCAACTGTGTGAAGGATGAAAACATCAGACAGGTGGGCTTTTCTGTTTACACTCGAACACTTCTGCTGAAGGACATTTGGGAAACACTACAGAATGTTCTATGCTTTCATAAGAGGCAGGGTTTTAGAGATGAGCCACAAATGTGCTGGGGTTCCCAGGGCACACTTGTCCCCTGGTGCCCAGAGCAGATGGGCCTGGACAGTCCAGTGGTCTGAAAGAGCAGAGCTAGGCTGTAAAATATGCCCTGGGTTAGAAGTAGTAACGGCTTTTGGAGAGTTTAGGACCAGTTGTGTTTGGGAAATTTCACCGGTCAACGTGCAACTTTGTTAGAAGGGGCTGTTGTCACCCTCCTGGGATGGGATAGGATAGGGCACAGGTGGTCCCCCACCATAGCACAGTCTAAATCCGTGATATGGATAGAAGCCAAGTGTGCCACCTCCAGAAACCAAGGGAGAAGCCGGTTTCCCCAAAGTGCCTTTGTGGTTGTTTGTTGCAGGTCATCCCAATGGTCACGGAATTGGTTGGGAGCAGCTACCGCTACCACCGAGGAGAGGTAGGCTGGTGGGGCCCAGTGCTGGCCCTGGAACATTCCCTCCTGTTGAGGAGCCTGAGGCTCACCTGCTAAACATGGTGGGCCAGACTGAGCCCTTGGCACGGAGATGAGCCTCTCACCTCGGTGCTCCTTAAAGGAAGGGGGGGGGCGTTGGGGGGGGAGGGCCTCGGCAGGGACCTTCCTTCCCCTTCAGCTGACCTAGACTCCTGGGTCCCCGGTGGGGGCTGGGTGTGCCCCTGACTGCTGGCTGCTCTTCTGCCTCTGTAGAATATGGAGTTCTGCATCATGGTGATCGGCATCCCCAACGTGGGCAAGTCTTCCCTCATCAACTCGCTCAGGAGACAGCACCTCAAGAAAGGTACTGCCAGCCACGCTGCTGCTGTTGTGACATTCTCATCTTTCCTACAGAGCAGTCACTCTTGTCCTGAGATGAAACTCAGCCCATAAGTCCTGGGGCACTCCTCGGGCTTGTCTCTTTCCACCAAAAGGACCTAGTTAACAGCTTGATGTGATTACACGGTGAGACAGAGTCCTCCTGGTGACATTTTACACTCAATTTGTTCTCTTTCTGTTTAATATGTGGATGACTTTTCTAAATTTTGGTGATTTTGCCTTTTCATTTATTTAAGTTTTTGATCCATTACAACCAAAGCATTACACAGCCGATGGGGTCTGATATCATGCAGGAGTGTTCCCTCAGGTCAGAAGCCTGTGTGGGGATCAAGTCTGGGAGCCCATGGCTCTCTCCCTGCTTCATGTTGGTTCTCTGGTTTCGAGGCACACAGGAGTGTCCACAGTACTCTAACTGTGCCTGTTCCCCTTTTTTCTTAAGTATTTGAAAGTTTAAAACCATGTCTGCATTGGCGTCACCCCCACATCAGCGTGTGGTCTTTATTAACATACAACCTGAAGGCTGTAAACTGCTCTGAACGGTGATTGACAGGCACTGCTTCTGGTGCTCCTTGGAGCATGGTTACAGTCATCTGTTTTTTAAAGTTCATTTTTCTTAACTTGTGGCTTTAAAAAAATTGGTGGTATTAAGTCGTGTAACTCAACACTCCCCTCTCTCCCAGCCCTGGGAACCTGGATTCTCCTGGATCTGTGAATATAGCATCTCCTGTGAGTGGAATCACACAGTACTTGCCCTTCTGTGATTGGCTGATGTCACTGAGCATAATGTCATCTAGGTCCATCCAGGTTGTGATAGTGGTCAGACCTTCATGTTTTTTGGTAAGGCTGAATAATACTGCGCAGTGTGGATGGACCACATTTCCTTACCATCTGTCAGTGGACATACATGTCCCTTTTATGCTCTAGTTTACTTGGCAGAGGGTGCAGAGTCTGCTTGGGACACACCTTGAACTGGGCCCCAGAGCATCCAGTATTCAGGGCACAGGCCGACCCCTTGGTCAGGTCAGCTCCATAGATAGGCCTGCCCTGGCTGGTGCTGTGGGGCAGATTTGCAGCGTGCAGGGTCAAATTTAGAAGGGAGGAAGGTGACTGCTGAAAGGAGCAGCTGTGGGCTGACCTTCACAGTCAGGTCCTTGCCTCTTTCCCTCAGCAGGTCTTGGCACACCTTCCCAGGCAATGGGGAGGCGTTGCTGGAACCTGGTTGAAAAGGTCATTGCTGTAAGCTGGTTTGGGGTTGAACCCTGAACACAAGCTGATTTGGGCCTTCATAGGTTCCCATGTGCTTCATTGCTTAATCTGTACCTGATATGCCAGGTATTTTTAATGTATATTTGACAGCCCTGTTTGTCCTGCAGGAAAAGCCACCAGGGTGGGCGGTGAGCCTGGGATCACTAGAGCTGTGATGTCCAGAATTCAGGTAAGGGCCTCAGCTCATGGGCCCAGAGCTACACACACACAGACGCCTGATACCTCCTGAGCACTTGCGAGGTGGTGTGCCCGTCTCTGTCCTTTCCCTCAGTCTCCGTTCCCATGAGTGCTTGCCACATGCCAGGCACTGCAGCAGCCTTACAGCAGACCTATGGGGAAGGCACACTTATCCCTATTTACAGATGAGCAAACTGAGGCACAGAGGAGTTGCATCACCTGCCCAAGGTCACACAGTGGTCAGGGCAGAGCCGAGTTGAGCTCCTCTCAACCACAGTTCAGCATTTCTGCAGGTTCCCTTCCTCCCAGGAGGAGAGAATGGGGCTGTGGGGGCTCTTGCTGTTATTTCCAAATTAAATGGGAGTGGATTCCTGTGGGAAAGCCATCAGGGGCAGGTTTGTGGGGGTCTCCTGCTCAAGGGGCTGTCCAATAGAAGGCCTGGTAGGAGAGGCTGCCTGACGCTTCCTGAGTGGTGAGCCAACTGCCCTCTGTGCCCACAGGTGTGTGAACGGCCACTGATGTTCCTGCTGGACACTCCTGGGGTGCTGGCTCCTCGGATTGAGAGTGTGGAGATGGGCCTAAAGCTGGCCCTGTGTGGTGAGCCACCCTCAGGGCCCCACCTGTGGCCTGGGGCAGCCCCAGCCCTGTGGGTTGTGCCACACTAATCCTCTGCCATGCTAATCCTCAGTGTTGTCCCTTGTACAGATGGGCACAATGGTCAGGTCTGGGGCTTGGCCTTCTCCTTGCAGCCTCTGGCTGAGACTGAGGTTATACACTCACCTTCGGCTCCCTGTTTCCAGGAACCGTGTTGGACCACCTGGTTGGAGAGGAGACCCTGGCTGACTACCTTCTCTACACCCTCAATAGGCACCAGCTCTTTGGGTGAGTGAGGGATGGGGGACAGGCAGGCCCATCCTCTTTTCTATGCAAATGTAGTTAAAAAAGTGGCACAGTTAGGGTATTGCTGACGGTGCTCTGTGCAGGTATGTGCAGCACTATGGCCTGGGCGAGGTCTGCGATGACATAACAAGCGTGCTGAAGCACGTGGCTGTGAGGCTGGGGAAGACGCAGAAGGTGAAAGTACTCACGGGCACAGGTGAGATGCGGGGCTTGGGCCAGTCTGTCGAGCAGGCCTGGCTGTCTGGGGGAGACATCGGGGAACATGAGGCTGCCCTGGGAACGAAGGTTCTTGTCTAGCTCATTGCTGTGGGCCCAGGCAGTGCTGCGTGCTCTCCATGTCTACCCTTCCCTCTGCAGCCTTGGGAGGCGCTCTCTGTTTTCTTTTTGAGTAGGCCCTGGTGCCCAAGCTCCATAGATACCCACCTTAGGGTCCCTGTCCCTGTGGGTGGGCTAAGTGGGGTCCTGGGCCTGCCCTGTGTGGAGGCTCCTTCCTCACCAGACCCTCCTGTCTCTCCCAGGTGACATGAACGTCATCCAGCCCAACTACCCTGCAGCAGCCCGTGACTTCCTCCGGACCTTCCGCAGTGGGCTGCTGGGCCCTGTGATGCTGGACCGGGACATCCTGCAGAGGCTCCCCCCAACAGATACCCTGCCTGGCCCTCAGCCCCAGAGACATGTAGTGTCCTAGACCTTCACATCTGGGTTTTGACACTCAGGGCTCCCTCTTCCATGATCTCTGTGCTGGTCACTGTACACTAAAGTCTCTGCTCCAGGAAGAGGGCTGCACCCTCCTGCCCCTCCAAAGCTAGGCAGTGCTTTGTTCCCAGGGACAGTCCCTGGGGTTTCAGAGCACTGACATCCCTGAGCAGTCCTCATGCCTGGCCTGGTGAGGACATTCACTTGTGCTCACTTCTTACATGGAGAAGCTGACATTGTCCTGGAAGGAGTGAAGCTATAATCTATAATTTAAATGTTTTAAACTCAAAGCCTCATCTCTGTTGTAGACTTAGTCACTGTGTACCCTCAGAACCTTGGGCACTTATATCAGGGCCCCCATAACCGGGGAGAAGTAGGAGACGAACTGATCAGCAGCTGAGGGCTATGGTGTCATATGATGCAGGGTCCTGGGTCCTGCAATGAGGTGTTGCCAGCACAGTGTTTATTTCACAACGATACTAAAATGCACACACAAACGTAAACAGAAGGTTCCAATACTCATGGCAGAACCCAAGGACTGGCCTATCCCCTCAGTACTGTGTACTGGCTGGGAGGGTCTCTGGTGTCAGTGGGGACCCACAGCTCCCACTGCTTCTGAGCACCTTCTAGCTAATGGGACAGTGGCACTTCCCAGAGGCACCTCCTGGCATTTACATTGCACCTAAAGGGGTCCAGGGGCAGGAAAAGGGCAGAGGAAGAATGGGGGAGGGGCAGGGGCCAATTCCCTGGTCAGTAGCCCTGGCTGCTGTGTGTCTGGGGGTGGCCTAACCTTCCTGGAACAGCCAGGGACCTCCATTCCTGTAGGTCCCACTACCTGCATGGGTTTCCCACACCACAACCTGGCTAACCCCTCCTGAGATCCGCCCTGAGCACCCTCTGCCTCCTGCGGGAACCCTGAACATGTGCGGGGGAAGGATTCAGAGATTTGGGGCCATACCAAACCCCAGACATGCACCCAGAGTTGGGAATGAGATGAGCTCTTGACCTGAGTGTGGCATCTTTCCTTCCAGAGCCTGCTGATGGCTCATAGCCTGTCGTCTAGGTGGGCATCTGAATGGCTGAGTATACCCAGGCTGGGCCCACATGTCAGGGCCCTTGGGGAGGACAGCTCGCCCCAGGAGCTGAAGTAGCCGCCCTCATGGGTCTCCCTGTGCAAGATGACTTTCCTGCCACCTGCATATAAAGTAGAAGGATGGTCACACTGCCTCTGGGGCCCAGGGCAGGGCATGGCCATAGCTCACTGGTCTTTGGTAGCATGGAGCTTGGTCTGGAATGGACAGAGTATCTGGGCTTGCACCCCAAGAATACTGGCAGTGTGAACACAGGAAGCTGCCAAGGCTTCGTCCTGCAGCTTAGCACTCCTGTCTTTGGAGAAAAACACTTGGTCCGAAGTCCTGCGGAAAGCCTGGAGACCCCTCCCCCCCAGCCCCTGACCTGAGCCAGCTGTGGTAGAGCCAAAGTGGCAGCTCTCTGCGATGGACTGGTCTCAGAACTGCTGTGGTCCAGGGGGCAAGGGTACATTCTGGGAGCCTGTTGAGCACTAGGAGGGTGAAGTCTGGAGGAGCCAGGCCCTGGAAGCTGTGTTGCCTTGGGATGCGGTGGTATCAGAGCTGGAGAACATGGCGAAGAGCTGAGGCCCCTGGGGCTGAGCTCACAGGGGCCTGAGAGGTGTTGGGTGCCATAGCCAAACCCTGTATTTCCTTAGAAGCTCCTTGGCAGGTCCTGTCCTCAGAACGTCTGGGGTGTTTAGACACCCCCAGATGGTGTTGGAGGAGCTCCGCCTCCTGGGTGCTTCCTTTTACTGAGCGAGGCTCTCAAGTCCAGTGTATTTGCTGGGTGCTGGGGCTTGGCCACCTCCGCCTTCCTCCAGGTACCTGCCTATGACCATGTGGGTTTCACTAGAGCTCCCAGCCTCCTCCATTCGCACCACAGCCTCACCTTCCGAGGGCTGCCGCCCGCTGAGGGTTGCTGCTGCCTACTACCTGCTGCCTGCTACCTATCTGCCCGGATCACGGCCAGCTGGGCCAAGGAGGGCTCTTCAGTGGGGCGGGCAGTTGCAGTCCCTGTGCGCAGGCCAGGGCTTGGGGCCCGGAATTCAAACCTGAAGTTCAAAGGGAATGGAAAGCTCTTCAAGTTTAAACAATGTTGTTTTTTCCAAAGTAGGTCCCAAGAAGAATTAAATGACTTGTTTCAAGTCAGAGCACAGTGGCTCCAAGGGAGTCCCTGGCAGTGGGTCTCACTGAGCATCTGCACAGACGGGGACAGGGCCATGGGCCCAAGGGCAGGGCAGCCCCTGTGGGCAGGGTTCTCCTGGGAACTATCCACAGAACCAGGATTGGGCATGCCTGGGCTCTGAAATCCAGACAGGGTCAGCACCTTACGTTCTCCATGCTTCAGCCTGTGAGCAAAACCTCTGCCCTTCCCCCAAATCCTCAATTCCTTTGGTCCATTCTGGAAGCCTCTGGTGGGGAGGCCACCACAGTCCTCTGTGTGCACCTCTCTGCCTGGTGGTGAGCACTGTCCACACCCCTCAAGTGTCCAGGGTGGGTTCCGAGGGGCCGGAGTGGCTTGAACAGCCTGACCTTGGCACTTGTCTTCGAGGCAGCTCTGGAGAGAGATGGTAGGCAGCTGGCCAGGGTGGTACAGGAGCCACGGGACACCTGCCTTTCTGGCAGGAAGGACCCTGACCTGTAAATGGGTGGGGCATCCTGGAGCTGATGGTAGGGTGGGAGTGGGGAGGCTCTAGAGGGACTTGGGCAGGATGGTGAACAGGAGGAGGCACCTGGGCCACAGCTAAGAGAGGTGCAGCTCCTGCTGGGCGAGGCAGGAATTACCCAGGCGGCCTCTGGGCGCCGGGACCTTGGGCTGCGGTCTGCCGCGAGGGCCCGGGGGGCGGCCGGTGTGGCCTCCAGCCTGACGCGCCTAGGGCTGCAGCAGGCCCAGGGCGCCCAGGGCGCCGCCAAGGAGCAGGCAGAG